ATGAAGCAGGTCGCCTCAATCAGACTCTCCCCAGTTTAGGATTTTTGATATGCTCTGAATGAGACCAGGGAAGTGGATGGAAGAAGTGAGGCTGAATTCATGAAACATTTAGGGGATGAGAAAGTCACTGTTGAGAGAAAGAAGAAATGAGGGCATTTTCTATATTCTACAGGAAGCTGGATGGAAGTGGAGCCATTATTAATTTTTTTTATTTAAAATTTTTAAAATTTCATTTTGTTTTTTGCTTTTTGGGTCACACCCAGTGATGCTCAGGGGTTCCTCCTGGCTCAGCACTCAGGAATTATTCCTGGCGGTGCTCTGGGGACCATATGGGATGCTAGGGATAGAACCTGGGTCGACCACATGCATGGCAAATGCCCTCCCAGCTGTACTATTGCTCCGGCCCGGAACTGGAGCCATTAGTAACGCCAGAAAGCAAGAGGAGGAAGGGACTTTTTAAAGCAAATTACTGTTTGTTTTGTTTTGATTTGGGGCCACACTCGGTAATATTCAGGGATTACTCCTGGCTCTGTGCTCAGGAATCACTCCCCTCCCTGGTGGGGCTCAGGACACTGCATGTGGTGCCAGAGATCTGACTGGGATTTAGGGCAAGTGCATTAAACTCTGTGCTGTCATTCTAGCCCCTAAAGCAAATTTGAAGTCACTTTGGGACTCGCTGGGTTTGAGGTGTTCGTGGATTATCTACATACTCAGTCCCACAGAAAAGGTGCTGGGGCCAGACAAGGAAGAATAGATGTAGAATTCAGTCGTTGATCAACAACAGATCAAATGGAGAGAGTGGATGAGATTACCAAGCAGAGCACATGGAGAAGAAATTGAAGGTGAACCCCAGAATGGGAGCCCCTGTGGCAGACAAGTGAGGGGGTGCTTGACCAGAGGCCCAGAACAACTAGGCCAGTGGGATGTCGGCAAAGTCAAGTGAGGGGCCTCCCAAGGAGGCCGGTAGCCGGAGTGGCCAGAAGGAAGGGGAGCATGTGCATCCAGTATTTCATAAATGGAACAGACAGGGTATCTACATCAGGTCCATGTGTCGCATTGCAGTCAGCTTCCTTTTGACGTGAATGAGAAAGAAGCAATCCTGGCGGATGGATTTGAGGACCTGCTTCCTCCGTCTGTTGCTTCAACCTGAACAGTGGTTTCTGAGGGCATGCTAACTGTGGAGGACTTACCATATCAATACCGAGGGTCACTGATTTATCCGCACTGTGGTGGGTTATGAACCAGGCGGTGCTGAGTGAAGGAAGCAGAACGGAGAAGAAGGTCATTGAGAGAGCAGAGGGTTTCCCAAGTTACTCTGGGAACCTGGGTCTCCCCTCTCCCTTGAAAACAAACTTTAGTTTCACTCTGACCCATAGTGAATCCGGCTCTGAAGGTGGTTGTCCTTAAGAAAGAGTGTGACCTTGAGACTCAGACTTCCGGGTTTGAGTCCTGGCTCCGTTTCTGATAAACTCAGTCTTTTAGACCAGGTTATTTAACTGGATGATACTTCATTGTTTTCATCTAAAGGTGTGGATTTTCAATATCTATCTCATGGAATTGTTAGGGATTACGTGAGGAAAGTACTTGTCTTAGTGTTGTATCTGGAACGCAGTGTTAGCCACTTGGAATCCTTCAATATGTTTCCTCCCTGGATTACCGTAATAGCCTTTATAATTTATTTTGTCTTATTTATTTCGGAGGGAGCTTGGGCCATACCTTGAATTACTCAGGGCTTACTCCTGGCTCTGTGCTCAGGGTATACTGGAGGACCACAGTGGCTCCAGGGATCAAACCAGAGTTGACCACATGCAAGGTAAGCACCTTAACGCCTGTACTCTGATTCTGGACCCTATTTTGTCTTATTTATATTTCGAGGGGGCTACACCCAGTGGTGCTCAAGGGCTGCTCCTGGTGCTGCCCTAGGGATCATGTGGTGCTGGGGCTTGAACCCAGCCTCCTCCACGCAGAGGCTGTGCCCAGCTCACTGTGCTGTCTCTTCAGCCCAGAAGTAGTATTTTTTTAAAAAAAAAAACCAACTTTTTTGGCAGTGTAATTTACATACTGTAAAAATCCATATTGTGCTGTAATATGGATTTGCATATTACACAATTTACATACTATAAATCTCTCTGGATTTGCATACCATAAAATTCACAGTTTTCCATGTACAGCACTTTCTAATAAATTTACGGAGTTGTAGAAACATGACTATGATCCAGTTTTAGAATATTGCCCCAATAGATTATTTTTAATGTTCAAAATAATTTATTTAAGCACTGTGATTTACAAAGTTGTCCATAATACAGTTGTTTCAGGTATTCAATGTTCCAGCACTAATCCCACTACCAGTGTGACTTTCCCTCTACCAGGTCTACCTTACCTACCCATAAAGCCTGCCCCCTTTGTGGGCACAAAATAATTTGCTCTGTGTTACTTGTTACAACAAAATGGCAAATGGAATTATCAAAAAAATTGTTCAGTAGAAGAAAAGGTAAAGGTAAAGGTAAAGGCCCTCCCATTGTTCATCGATTTGCTTGAGCGGGCCCAGTAATGTCTCCATTGGAGACTTTGTTGTTACTGTGTCTGGCATATCGAATACGTCACGGGGAGCTTACCAGGCTCTGCCGTGCGGGCGAGATACTCTCGATAGCTTGCCGGGCTCTCCGAGAGGAGCGGAGGAATCGAACTCGGGTCGGCCATGTTGGCTGCGTGCAAGGCAAACGCCCTACTGCTGTGCTATTGCTCCAGCCCAGTAGAAGAAAGAAAACTTATGAAAATTGTTATATGTCATAATGGTGTTACTAAAGCCATTACCTGAGGATTTACTGAGCTGCTTGGTGCTGGTTGAGCCTTCAGTGTTACTATGTTTGCTCTTTGAGCTTAGTGGGCTTCTATGCTACTTTCCCATCTAATTTGCGGTGCTCCTTCTGTGCTGTCAATTTTGTGAAGTTTGGAGGTGTCGTGGGCTCCAGATCTGTGGAACTGGAATGATTCATTATCTTGATGTCTCTCTGAGCTTAGCTGTGGAGCTGGGCTGTTTATATGCCAAAGGATGTCAGCTGTGGGTGGGACAGTGGGCCTTTTGACAGGTCAGGGACTCAGCTTACCTCCATCCCAAGAAGACTGTAGAGATTTCAGCCTGAGATCAGGCTACCTGATTCAGTGGCTTGGCGTCTTTTTGAGATTAGCCCCCAATCAGATTTCTTATGCCTGGTCATAGTTAGGCCCCATCCCCTCTGGCTGTATGTAGTCACTATATACGCTGTAGTTGTCTCCCTCTGTCTACATAAAGGTGGCCATTTCTTATATATACATATATGTATATATATATATATATATACATACATACATATATATCATGTTGTCTTTTGTGTCTAGCTTCCTAATTTGGAATTTTTTTTTTTAAAGTTTATCCATGTTTGCAGTATATATATCAGAGCTTCAGTTTTTTTTTTAAATTGCTCGATTGTACTCCATTGTATAGGTATAACTGTCACTGTCCTCCCGTTGTTCATCAATTTGCTGAGCAGGCCTAGTAACGTCCTACATTTTGAGACTTGTTACTGTGTTTGGCATATTGAATACGTCACAGGTAGCTTGCCCAGCTTTGCCGTGTGGGGCATGGGGTATATATAATGTATTTGTTTATTCTTTCACCAGTTGCTGGACATTTATCTCCATTCTGGCTACTCTGACTATTGTTCTTGGAACATTCCTTTGCAGGCCTCTGTGTGGACATAAAATGGTGTCTGAGTTGGTCTTCCAGCCTATTTTTTTAGGGGATCCTCCTGCTTCTGCCCCTACACTGTGGCTAAAGTGTAAACTGCATCGTGGTATCATTTCCCTGCCTGAAGTCCTTCCGCAGTGCCCAGTTGTCCTCAGAATCGTGTTCAAACTCCTTAGCTCGAAGCGTTGACTCAATCTTCTGGATCTGAACACTTATTTCCCCTCTGTTCCTTCTCTCTCTCATTAAGCCCTCACACCCCAGCTGCCTGCTTGAGCCATTCTTGGAATCATTCGTGTTGCTTCATTTATCTAAGCATTCCTTCCACGAACCAGACTGAGAGCGACTCTGGGGAGATAGTGCAGCCAGACCCTCGCTCTCCCACAGCTCTCTCTCTCTCTCTCTCTCTCTGTCGTGTGAGAGGCAGACTGTACACCAGAAAGCATTAGCGCATGATAAGTACTGGACAGAGAGTAATATGCTGGTAACTGCATCTCCAGGCCTGATGTTGTTCCCGACCTGATGTCTCGGTTTTAATGCCAGCCGCCTGGCTGGTGCCCGACAGCGGCAAGGCCCATTTCTCATCTAGATCTGAAAGTGCTTCCCCTTCTTGGAGCTGTCTTAGGTTCTGGGCCTAGTCCTCGCTCTGACCCATCCCTTCCCCAGCCCCAACCCTTCAGCTCAACTGGATATCCTGCCCTTTGGGCTTTTCATTTTGGCACTCTTCCCAAAACAGGCGCCAGGTGACCCTGCTCCTTTTTTGCCATTCTAAGCAATGAGAGCCCTGGGAAGCCCCATTCTTGCCTAGTTCCTGACACATACTCTGCTGAAAGGGTGATTGTGGTTGACCTGGAGGAGAGAGGTGGGAAGGGCCATTTCCTGTGGGACTGCAGGGAGGGAGGGAGGGAGGGAGGGAGGGAGATCAAGCCTGTTGCACGCAGCACCCGTTGGTAGGATTCGGAGAGAGTACGTGCCTGGCTTGTGTCTTCTCCGAGACTGCAGTTTGGTGCGCAGTGTAAAAATGAAAAGGAGACTTACTACCATGTGCAATTAGCAGTGCATCAGGAGAAATCAAGTCGCGCTGCTGGCTGCAGCTTGGAATCTGGAAGTGGCCCCTCCTTGCTTTTAGTTTTTATTGCTATTAGATGTAGCCTAATTTCTCCAGGCCATTTGTTATACATATTGATACGGATGACTAAATTACTTGGAAGCGAGTCTACTGTTTTCCTCCTCATTCTCTTTCTAATTGATTTTTGTTTTGATGTTGCCTTTTCAGCTTTCGGAAAATGTGATCGATCGTATGAAGGAAGCCTCTCCGGGTTCGAAGTCTTCGCGCTATTCGGGTCCCTTTGGTGCCTCAGGTATTTCAGAATTTGTATTCCAGAGCTTTCCGTAGAAAACTTATAAGCAGTCAGAGTGTGCTCAAAAGGCTCTTCTGCACTGTGTCTTTTATTTGGGTACTCTGCCTTTTCGAGGGCAGATTAGAAATCAGCACCAGGGTTTTCTTTTAAGAATCTGCTTTGCACTCAAAAGTCCAATGAATCAGCTTGTAGCCCTTGAACAGCCTTTTTTTTTTTTTTCTCATCGAATTCCTGAATCCTTTTTGACTTTGGAAGGTAACTGCTTTATTTATTTATTTATTTATTTAAGTGAAATGTATTATATATAGGGATGAGAGAGACTTCGTGTAAATATTTATTCCACCTGAAAAGAAAGAAAAGAAAAAACCCCACTGAACACAGGAAATACTGATTTCTATCTCCAAATTGTGCATTATCCCCTATTTTATTTTCTGATAGATTTCTCCTAAGCTTATAGCGTTTATTCCATTATGGTTGGTTTTGAATTATTGATGAAAAGATGGTATTGGATGACATTTATGGAGCATTAATAAAGCTCATCTTACTGTAACTCCTGATGGACCTGAGCTGAGAGGTTTCCTCCCTCTTTCTCCCCTCTCCCCTTCCTCATTCCTTTATTCATCCTACACATATTCATAATATTTATATTCTGACCTGCTCAGTGTCTGGCACCGCAGGTGCTCAGTAAATATTTGCAAGGAAAAGTACATAGCCCGCTGCCCAACGTGAGGGAGGGATGTGCTTTTATTGGCAGAGAGAAAATCTTTGGGCTGATTCTTGGTGGACCAATGGAGAGTTTTCAGTATTTATTAGAAAAAGGCCTTGGGTGGTAGGTCTGGCTACAGACTGTTGGTTCATTGGGAAAGAGGAGATGTTGCTCACAGGCCACTCACTTGGGGGCACTCGTGACCCCTGTGCTCATGGGGAAGTTGCTGATGGCGAGGTGCTTGGTTCTTAGAGAGCGCTGATTGCTTACTTACCGTGAGTTCAGCTTCAGTATGTTTATGGCACAGGCTGCTAATAGGAGTGGACTTAGTTCTTGTCCTTTTAAAACTTCTTGTTTAAAAAGCAGCTTCGGGGGCTGGAAAAATAGTGCAGGGGTTCCCGTGCTTGTCTGGCACGTGAGGGTCCTCCCCAACCCTGCCAAGGGTGATCCCTGAGCTCTGAGCGGGGAGTAGGCGCTGAGTAACACTGGGTGTGGCCCCCATCTCTGCTTCCTGCCCCCTCCGCCCCCCCAACAAGAAAAGGTCAGAGATAATTGGCATGCCACTGAAGTGACCAGTCCCTTTTTTGTTAGCCTATTTTTTTAAGCCTTTGCTCCATACCATATCTTTCTTTCTTTCTTTCTTTCTTTCTTTCTTTCTTTCTTTCTTTTTTTTATAAAGTAGTTTACAATATTTGATGACATTTAGTATTCAAATACCAATCCTACCACTGTTACACCTTCCCATCACTATATTTTGGGTGTTTCCATCTTGAACCCCAATCCCTGCCCCGAAGCAAAACCGAAATAATATAGTTTGTATTGTTTGTTGTGAAAAAAACGCTGAAAATGCTACAAAAAATTATCCTTAGAGGAGAAAGAGTGTGAAGATTGTTGTATTTCACTCAGGGGCCATTAAGCACTTCTATAAGTCCGTTAAAAAAAAAATCTTTCCCTCTAAGATTGGTTGTCTTCTACTTTGAATCCCATCAAATGTGGTGCGGTACTCTTGGAGGATGGGTCGGGTGTGTGGTACGAAGTGCCCAGGAATAGATTCACTCATGAGTGAGGCTCAGCCTGAGCGTGTGGAGAGCAGCCGTGAGCGTGGAGGCGGTTGAGTTCTGGGGGTTTTTGGCTGCCTGCTCTGGGTCCCTTGGGGGTGGGGAGGGGTCTCACCTGCCCGCCTCTTGGGCACCCCTAGTGAAAAAGCCTGGTGCAGGGTCCGGCTTTTCGGCACTTTACTTGCACTTTAGACTGGTCATCTTTGTCGCTTTTCACCGTACTGTCTCCTCCATGTGTTTGGTTTTCAAATCCTGCCTGTGACTCCCGGGATGGGGTCTTCATCTGTGACTTCCTTCCATGCGCAGCTTAGGTCACGGCCTATGTGAAGTCTAACCCCCAAGAGTGTGCACAGTGGATGTGTCCCAGACCAACCTTTTGGATTCTTCCCCAGTCTCCTTCTCTGACTCTTCCTGTTAATGCGTCTGGGAGTCAGGCCCCAAACCCGGACTGCGTTCCTGTTTTCTCTTGTTTTGTTTCCAGGGTCAGGCCACATGCCTCTCTCCTTAGCTCCATCTCTGAATCACGCTGACTTTTTCAGGCCTGATCCCGCTGCTGTGGCCGCACACCAGCTTCTCTCACCTGGTTCTCTGCAGAGGTCTCAGAACTGGCTCTGCCCTGCCATCTTCTCACCTTTTTGCTCGGCTGTGTTCACAAACTCAGTCCTTGTGGAAAAAAGACGCTCCCGTACTGTTCCTGTGGGCGTCTCCTCGGGCCAGTGGGTCTTGTGCTGACTTCCCCGGCATGCCAGGGCCGGCCCAACTCACTGTCCGGCTTTTCTGCTGTTGTTTCCTTCCTCCCTGTGTCTGGCCTCTCCGCTGGAAGATAAACTTGCTCCTTGTTGGTTTTGAGTTATGAGTTCCTAGGATAGTTCCAGGCTCTTAGCGCTGATCCGTTGATGGATTAATTTAGGGCCGACCCCTTTCATCCATTGTAAAAGTAGCTACCCTTGATAATTCTAGGTAGACTCTAATTCAAGGAATTGAATGTAGGTGACATTTGTCTATGTCCAGGTAAATGAGGTACTTTGAGAGGGTACAAGAACAAAACAAATTTCTCTCCAGTTGTTCAGTGTTTTGGAGTAGATACAGCTAAAGTATAACCAAACTGGAGGGAAGGTAGGTTTTATAAAACAAGCCTAGAAGATAGTGAAATTAAGTACGTGTGGATATTTTAAAACTTAGGCTTCAGTCTACAATAATGATTTGTGGTCTGGAGAGATTGTACAACGGGTAGGTCACTTGTCTTGCACAGGGCTGACCCAGGTTCTGTCCCCAGCACCCTTTGGGATTCCCTAAGCCTCACCAGGAATGATTCCTGAGTAATACAGAGCCAGGAGTACTTCCTGAGCACCTCTGAGTGTGGACTCTCCTCCCACAAATAAAACAAAATAAAACAAAATAAATATGTTTTGTTCTAGGTATATATTATATATATTTTTGGTCTGGGGAGGTGGTTGGATTTTTGGGTCATGTCCACCCAACTGTGCTCTGAGCTACTATTCCCAGCTCTGCTCAGAGGTTGTTGGAAAGACCCTGTGGTGCCAGGGCTGGATCGCATGCAAGGCAAGCGCCTTAATCCTTGTGCTGTCTCTCTGACCCCCCTACATAGATTTTTCTATTGTGGAAATGCTGGAACAGTGATTGGTAACAAATTATGTACCAGGTACTCTGCTAAATCCTTTATATGTCTTACCTCACTTAATCCTAGAATCCTACGAGGAGGAGACTATTGGTTCATACCTGGCACTGTGTTTAGGGGTTGCCCCTGGAAGTGCTCAGGAGACCATGCAGTGCCAGGGATCAAACCTAGGCCTCCGGCATGTGAGCCTGCGCTGAGCCACCCACTGGTCCATCTCTCCGCCATGCAGGGCTCCGTTTCACTTGGAAGTGAAATGAGACTTGAAGTGATTAATTGTCTTGCCCAAAGCCACACCGCCGGTTAGCAGTGGCAGCGGTAGCTGAAGATGAGTGTGATTCCAGAGCAGATGCTGTCTAGGACCAATGATGTTTAATTGTCATTCGAGTCCTACTTTGCTTCTTATGTAGAAAGAATGTGCGGGTGGGAGCATCCCTTTCATTGATGCTCTGCTGGGGTTTGGGAAGAGCCTAAAAGCGATTGCTGGCTTTTTGAGCTTTTCCCGATATTGGCTTTTTCTTCTTCTTCTTCTTCTTCTTTTTCTTCTTCTTTTTTTTTTTTTATCAAAATGTTTTACAGGCGGCTGGAGCGATAGCACAGGGGGTCGGGTGTTTACCTTGCACGTGTCCGACCTGGGTTCAATTCCCAGCATCCCATATGGTCCCCTGAGCACCGCCAAGAATAATTCCTGGGTGCAGAGCCAGAAGTAACCCCTGTGCATTGCCAGGTGTGACCCAAAAAGAAAAAAAATCTAAAAAAATATTTTAGAGCTAAATTTTATTTTTATAAAGTTGTTCACTATAACTCTAATATTCAAACTCTAATATTCAAATATTCAAAAACTCTAATGTTCACTATAACTCTAATATTCAAGTTGTTCACTATAACACTAATATTCAAACATCAATCCCACCACCATTGCACCTTCCCACCCCCATATTTCGAATGTTTCCACCCCAAATCCCAAACCATGCCCCCCAAAGCAGAACTGAAAAATAATGTATTTTGTATTGCTTGTTTGGAATAATCCACTAAAAATGGTGCAGTCAAGTTTCCTTAGAGGAAAGTGTGAAGATTGTTGCATTTCATCCTGGAGCAGTTAAGCTCTTGTATAAGAGATTACTAACATGTTTGTTAAACCCCATCACATGTTGTGTGCTCCCCTTGGTACATCAGTGGTGTAAAGCATGAGAGGTTGCCTGGTTGCAGTATTGGCTCTTTCTAAATGGAGAAAATGTTTTCCTTCTTGGGACTTTATTTTTCTGGCCATGTGAGTGCTTTACCCCTGTTCCATCTCGCTGGCCCTCACGGGTCGGACTCTCCTTACACTTAGTGACGGTAACTATTGATCTCTGGACATGGCTGGCCTGTGGAGCTCTGGCAGTGCCATGGGGCCCAGCCTTCACCGTGGCTGGCTCTGATGAAATGGCATGAGATCTCTGGGCCCTCACTGAACCCCTCTGAAGGCTGCCTTGGGGTTTGGTGGTCGGGCTAGTGTGTCACTTGCTAAGTGGTTGCCGCTCATCAAAGGGGCCTCTTCAGTACGAAATTCAACTTTCCTCAGATGGGATCAGATGAAAGGTTGAGCTCTTGGGCTACA